AAAAACGGAGGACAAGATCAGTGGGAGGAACCTCAAAGGGAATCACTCTACACTGTAGTGTCTTGCTGCAGGTTGCAAGACACTTTACGGCGTGCAGAAAACAAATCTTGGCCCCAAGGGGCTTCCAATCTATATTAATCATGAGCAGTGCTTTTTTTGTATGAAAAAAGCTGCCAGAACTCATGAATTTATTTACGTTTCACATGCAGTCAATCACTGTACACACACCCACACATGTCAGTTGTGTAATGAAACATAACAGTCGCCACCCACAGTAAGCACTCAGCACGCGACCACACGACCAACCACAAGCCGAGCAGCGCCATCACAACCAGCGCAGACGAAGTGCGCATGCATCGGACTCGACACACAAGCAGCCCACATGCACCGTTTTAATGCTTTTGCCGCCGACCTGCTACGCTCGACAGGGCGATTCGAATCCACGTGGACCAAACATCAAATTTCCAAAAGTTACTTTTAAAACTTGGAAAATCTGTTGAAAAAAGGGGCCGGAACTCCATTCCGGTGCGTTCTATGACAAAAAAAGCACAGATCACGAGGAAGGCAAGAGAGAAAAGGTGATGCAGGCAGGGGTCAACAAGGGAAAGGCAGGCGACTGTTTCAGCTACGTGGACTTAGCTAAGTGGGCCATGGAGACCTGACACTGTTTCGAGGGATTCCTTCTTCCTCTCTCTTCCAAGCATACCGACATAAGCAGCGCCCTGCTGGATCGGACCCAGAGTCCACCTGGTCCAGCATTCTGTTCACACACACAGCGACCAACCAGGTGCCCAAAGAAAACCCAGAAGCAGTGGATAGTTTAAACAATGCACCACATGAAGCCCTTCTTTCAATCTGCCCCGAATTTGCCTCCAAACAGCCTCATGGGAAAACCCCTCTGGATTCTAGGGTGATGAGAGGCAGAGAAAAATGTCTCCAATCCATTAATTATTTTATACACCATTTCCAGGCATAAACCTCCTTACACCCCCTTTTCTAATCCCAAAGATCCAGCCTTACAATTTTTCTCCACGGGGGAGTTAAATGAGTGCTTTGATCTTGGGGTTGCCCTTTTTGGCATAGCATGGAAGTCTTTCAGTTGGACCCGATGCCAAGTAAAAGCCTAAAGGGGGGGGGACTAACAAATATGACATTGCCCAGCATCCTTATGGGTACATTTTAAGAGGGGAGGGGTCCAAATGCTCCCACCGGCCAGCCGGCTTCCAAAGCGGCTCCAAACGCCTGGCTTCTCCGCTTGAAGAACCACCAAGCTACACGCGGGTTGCTCGCCTCTTCATCTGAGGCTGAACCAGAGACGGAAAAAGGTCCCCTTTTGGGAGCTTCCTTCCATCCTGCCTTGCAGTGCGACCTGTCTAGCTACAGCCATGCCCAGTTTTTAGCACCCTCTGGTGGGAAGAAAAAATGCAAGTCCCGCAGTCGGAACTCGATGTGGAAAGTCTACGGGGAGGCCAATTTCCTGTTCACGGTTCTGGTTTAACGCGAAGGAGCGCCGGAAGCCAACGGTGGGCCTTTCAGACGTCCGCAGCAGCCCCAGGCTGAGCTGGGCGCAAGTGGAGGAGGGCCTGTCCTGCTGAAATTGTTATAATGATGTCTAAATGTGCATCTGCACATGAGCAGGTGCAGGTTTAATGTGGCCTGTGTTATCTTGCTGGTGACGCACGTCTTCCTTTCCTACTCAGCCAGCTCTTTATTTTATTATAAAAAAAATAAAAATCGCAATATTATATATTGCGATTTATATCCTGCCTTTTTCCTACAAAGGGCTCAAGGCAGCTGACATCATTCTCCTCCTCCATCTTATACCCACAACAACAACCCTGTGAGGTAGGTTGGGCTGCAAGTCTGTGACTGGCCCAGAGTCACCCAGCTGGCTCCATGGCCGAGTGGGGACTCGAACCTGGATCACCTGAGTCCCAGTCCCATGCTCTGAACCACTGTGCCACACTGGCACCCTCATGCTTCAAGGGGGCTTACACAAAATCCACCTGAGGGAAGGATCAGGGCACAGGGGTTGGAGTCAGGCTTGCTCACGTTAGAGCAGGACTGTGGATGTGAATGTTGCCTGGGATTTGGGGCGGTCACAAATGCTCCGCCTCGCCTACCTTGCAGGGTTGCTGTGTGGATGAAATGGAGAGGAAGAGGCAGACTGTAAGATGCCTCGGGTTCCTCGCAAGAGGAAAAAGGTAGGATATAAAGGTAGCTCTGTAAGTTGTAGTGGTGGCCTGACTCTTAGTTTTGAAAATGTCAGTATTATTCTGTTCCCACTTTGCTGAGCAATGACAGGGAGCCAGACCACCAGATGACAGGATAAGGCAACCTGATGCTCTCCAGGTTTTGGTTTACGCAGCCTGAGAGGAAGGGTTCCCCCACATAGGGGGTGCCCCCAGCCAAATTGGGGGGTCTTCCCTCCCAGCACCCCCCCCCCCGCAGCTCTTCCCCTTCAGCTGGATCTTGATACATTGTGCAGCATTCTCAGGAGGCCACCGTGGGAAGGTGGGGGACAGACACATCCCCTTCCCCCAGTGCAGTCAATCCAGCCTAATTTTGGACCACAACTCCCATCAGACCTAGCATGCAAGATGAGGATTATGGGAGTTGTAGTCTAAAAATTCTGGGGATGTGCCAAGTTGCCTACCACCGTGCTCTCTCATTTTTTTCTGTATGCTGTTCCCTAAGGTTGTCTCTTTGTCCATAGCCAGTTGCCAATGATGGGAGATGTAGTTGCATGCATTGGAGGGGCACCTGGCTGGGGAAGCCTAGGTCAGGACAAGCCTCACTCTACCAGATAGCACTAAATTGCTGATTCCACTGAGTTCAGTGCTCTGTTGTGACATTAAACTCCCCCAGGTGATGCTGGCAGGTATTAAGTGCGCTCATTAACCATCCAGCTCCTTCACACAGCCCCATTGTCAAACAATATTTGCTGAGGGAAGAGAGACGGGTACTCAGGTCTGCTAGCCGGCCACCGGATCCCATCCTCAGAGCAAACATTTTCGATGGACCGAGCTGACGTCTGTCTGGAGCACAAACCGGGTTTCCTGTCGACTTGTAACAGCGGAATACAGCTCGGCCATTCTTCCTGCCATCTGTCTGACTAGCATCAAGGGGGTCATTAACCTAGTTGGCAAGGTGGACCCTTGGTGGCAGATTGCACGCGGGAAGTGCCTTCTGCAGAACTCGGTGAACGAAAGCCGTTCCCCTCTATTACCTCCCAACCTTGCCGAAAAGTAAGCCACCTCCCAAGAAACGGGAGCAGAGAAAGATCTATAAGGAGAGTGCTGCTGGATTAGGCCAAGGGCTTATCTCGTCGAGCCCACGCAGTGGCGGGCCAGGGGAAACCCAAGCTTCCTGCTCGTGTCTCCTAACACCTGCGACATGGAGATGTACTTTCTCCAGTTCCGGAGGTAATATCAGGACAAGCAGCCATTGCCGCTGCCAAGAAATCCATTTTCTTTTAAAGAGCTGCCTTCCAGTTAGCAGCTCAGTTTGTGAAGCTAAGCCTGCATACGGTTGTTAAAGCAGCTGTATGCATGATCTCAGACCTTCAAGGCCAAAAGGCCGGGGGGGGGGGGGAGGTTCAGCTGGGCTGCTGTGAGACCCTTCCACCACCCTCTCCCTGAAAGCCTCGGGCATTTATTGAGCCAGCCGGTGGAAGCTCACAGTGGAAGAAATTATTTTCCCAGCTTGTGCTGACTCAGATGGCTCACCCCTGAAGTACTCAGCCATCTACGGACAGGCTGAAGTTCAGGACGCTCGCTTCACTTCTGTCAAAGACTTGTGGGCACAAGCCAGGAGAGGCTAATGTTGGTCTGCCTTTGCTCGGCTCGGTTTTTCTTCACTCCTGCCTCTGTGCTTCATCTTGCTGTCAGACTTGCAATTCTCTGGATCCCAGCTGGGGCCCTACCCTCTTGGAAGAACCCAGCTTAGGCAACATGTAGGAAGATGCGACTTGTGCAGCGTCTGTTACTTTTGCCTGAACTGCTGTTTCCAAAGGTTGCTCTTCTCCTTCTGTTCCTTTTGTAGTCCCTTCCCCAGTGCCTCTGAACCCATTCAAGCTCTTCCTCCCACCTGAGTCGGGGTGCTAAATCCCACCTGGTTAATGGCCGTGCTTTCAAGATGCAGCCTGCGAGGTCTGGGGGTCCCTGACTCAAGCCGGGTTGCTCTAAGAGGCAGTGGTTGTCCCTGCTGATACTCTCAGCAGCACCCTCCCTCCCTCCCTCCCTCCCTCCACAGCTGGTCTCCTCCATGCATTTTCCTGGCCCCATTTTAAGGTATCCAAGTGAGTGGCCATTGCTACAACTTGGGGTAGAAAATGTCAGAGGTTAACTCTGCACTGTTAAGATGACATTCCTGCTTTGATGGGTGCTGAATCTCCTACCAAGCAGCTCCCTGGAGTGACTCCAGGCTCTAGCACTGCAAGAGAGGCCTACTCATGTTCTCCATGCTGTGCAGTTGTGTGTGTCTCCTTCTATCCTCCTCCCATTGCTCAGCCTTTCCTCTAAGCTAAACTGTTGTCTCCTTCCTCAGATGGGAGCAGCTCACCCCTAGATCTGATCACTTATCAGATTACTAGGAGATTTTGGGCCAGTCATGGACTCCAAGCCTAGCCTACCTCACAGGGCTGCTGGGCAGATAAATCAGAGAGAAGGAATTGTTATGAAGCCACCGTGGGTTTCTTGCAGAAAAGACGACAGGCTGCGAATATAATAAAAACAGATCATGCTGTGTCAAGAAAAGTCAGGTTAGCAGCCCAACAGATCTGGCATTGTAGTGAGGATAAAATGGGGCTATGGAAGCTGCCCTGAGTTCTTTGCAAGAGGAAAAAGCTGGGACATAAATGTAATCAAATGATAATACATTGCCTAGGGGACATAGGTTGCTCCCTGAAGTGATAAATAGCTTGAGAGGGCGTGAACCTTAAAGCAGCCTATAAATAACTTACGTAAAAAAATTGCAAGAGATGAACTAAAGTCACAGTATTTTCTTTGGCCAGTTTCATAAGTTATATTAAGAGATGCCTTCTGTCATTAGCACACTTAAAAAAAGAACAGTGCGTGGCTGATGAATTTAACATACATAATAGTAAAGTGCCATTTTTAATGCTAACAATGGTCCCTCCAAGCGAAGAAGTTGGATCTGAATGAACTGGTTGGTGCATATTTTGCTGTTCTTCTCAACCGGTCCATCTTATCAAGGATGACCAAGAGAAACGCAGTAACTGGAGCCCCCTGCTAGGAGGGACTGTCTCTCTGGAACTCAGAAGCCATTTGGAAAAAGCTCCTCTGTGACATCCTCAGGCGGTGCAAGAAATACGCAGATCCTTCCAGGCTTGTCTTGGGAATGCGGCCTCCAACTTCCTGAAGGCTGTGTGCCCTTCTTTGCACCTTCCTTGTGCTTTCCGGCCCAGGACACACACACACACACAATATTGCACGGGGGTTCTCCTTTCTTGTGCACACTTCCTTCTCGTGAAAATCCCGTGGATCACTGTGAGGGCCCATTTGTGTAGACATCTGCTCCCAGAATGGCACAAATGCTATGAATGCCCCATTAGATCAAGCCCATCGCAGGTCTCCAAGGCTCGCCTGTCCTTTACGCAGATGGGAATTCAGAATCCCAAAGTTCTCCTTTAACACATCAAACTTGCCATTAAATTTTGCGGGGTGGGGGGGAAGTGGGGCCCCTTCATTCTGGATTCTCATAGTGGGCAAAACTCTGCAGCAGCCCTGCGAGTTGTGTGAAGTCCGGCCTTTCTCTCGGGTCAAGTTTCCAGCATTTACACATGATATTGTATATCAGGGAGGGGCAGTTGGATGGGCAGTGCATCTTGAATCCCTTCTGGACATGATGGAACACTTCGCTGTTGCTCATGCCTGGAAACGGAGGAGAAACGATGGGTAAAGAGACGAACATTGAGGTGTACTTGAAATGAGCTGAGGGACAATCCTAGGACCCCCAGCCCTGCCCCTGACACAGCCTAGGGGGCCAGGTATGTTGGAGGCCCGGCTCCAGGCTTATAGCTGGGACTTCACCCACGGAGGGCTGTTCCTTTGCCCTTACAAAGTGCACCCTTCTTTCTGGGCTGCTTGGACTCCAAAGATGGGAGACTGTTTTTGAAGTCTCTCTGGGTGCGGGGTGCATATTCCAGGGGGTGGGGAGGGAAGGAGAGAGGCTGTGCAGGGATACGTATAAGGAATCCTGGCCATGCCTTGACCTTCCTCCTCTGGAGCAGCACTGAAGAGCGTGGAAACTGGCTCTCGAAATGTTTTGGAGGGTGTGGGGAACGTGGAGCAAGCCAAGCCCCTGAGTTGTCCTCCCCTTCCAGTGGGTGCCTGAGATTCTCTGCACTGTGAGCATCCAGGGTGGTGATCTCAGCTGGCTCCCCCTAGCCATATATAAGTATAAGAAGCACTGTAGCCAGATGGACTAATCTAAGCATACAAAAATCACTGTCGCTATGATTGGTTTTACTATCCCATGCAAAGCACCTTACACTTTGCAGAGGAATGCAAGCAAAACCCAAGGTCTCTGCCCCAAGAAACATACATCAGACAAACATTCTGCACAGGACGAATACGGCCATTGCTATGCAAATAAGTAAACACAAATCTGACATCGGGAATGGCAACTCTAGAGCCCTTCTGCCTTCCAGGAGACTTTTGTCAATGACTTTGAGGTGTCATTCCTGAACAAAGGAATTCAAAGAAAATGCCAGAGGAGATTAGGAAATGACCTTTATCAGAAGAACCCACTCTATTTCCTGTGCTCTGACAAAGGTCTTGTTTTCTGAAAAGATACCAGACAGCATGCACAAATCTGCCCACCAACACAACAGATGTTGCAATCCCTCCACAACATTTTGTGAACAGAAACGGTTGAGGTAAAGATTGGCGTGTCTACACTTTGGGTTTCATTTTCTCAGGACTTCGCTGTTCACAGCCTCCCACAAATGCGTCCATAAACCTGTCAAGTTGAGGTTAACACTCCCTGATAAAGCACCCAGCACGCACGAAAGCTCATGTCAGAATGAATCTGTTCATCCTTAAGGTGGCAAAACACTCTTTCTTCTTGTTGCGGCATGGCTGTGGAAGCCTAAATTAATGCAAAAACGGGAGCGAGATGGCCTGTGCAGGCCCAGGACTGCTGCTTTTGCTTTCCTGAGGGAGCAGCTCAATTCTGTCCCAACCCCTGCCCCCAATCTTGGGGTAGGCCCAATATTTTGGGTGTAAATTCTGTCTCCCTCAGTCTCTCACACCATCCTGGTACTGCCAGGAGGATTCTGCATCTCCAGGACTCTGCTGCCTAACCAGCAGCTAAGATGGAGGCAAACCCAATGGGCTAGGGGACAGTATAGAAATGTAACAAACAAACAAACAAGCAAATGATAAACCCGCTTAAGAAGCTGCCTTATATTGGCCCAGTTTGCAAAACATGCCTGATTCAACTGTCACAGTGTGGGCCAGATGCCATTTTGAATATGATTAGGGGTGTGGTGCACTTTGGGAACCAGATCACTTGGGGTTATTTGAGGGATAAACAACCCTTGCCACTACAACGGACTGAGGTTCCTCATGATTTAAATAACCCACAGAAAGCTCGGCATCTTGTGAAACCAGGTCACTGAGACAGATTAATGGTTCATCTTGCCCTGGATTATCTCCTCCAGCTGGAAGGGCTTCTCTCCAGACCTGGGTTCCAGTCTTCACCAGTCCTTTTGGAAACTGAATCCGGGACCTTCTAGGCACAACACACAAGATCCACCATGAAGTTGTGATTTCTAGTGAAACCCACTGTAAGAAACAACCAGGAGCTTCGTGGAGCAAAAATTAGCCTGAGTTTTTGTGAACTGCAGTCCACTTCATTAGATTACATACAGTCCATCTGTCTGTAGAAGTGGACCAAAGTCCACAAAAGCTGATTCCATAATAAATTTGAGCTGATTGTCTCTAGCAAGGTGAGTCTAATTCAAGATCCTGCTTTTAATTTGTGCAGAAATGCATCTTCCATAAATTCATAAAATCTGATAAAGATGCTGCAAGTTAGTTTTGCAATGAAACACTGATTTTTATTTTCTAACCTCAATATATGAAATATGAGAAAAGTTCTTAATGCTTGTTAAAGAAGAATTGTCTCGTTTGCGATCATCCTAAGGAAGGACAAATTCTTAGGTTAAATCCCCTAAATTTAAAACATGAACCAGAAGGTCATGCTAAAGACCCAATACCTGGATATGGGTTCTGGCCGCGGGTCACAATTTCATAGAGGAGGATTCCAAAGGACCAAACGTCGGATTTGATGGAATAACGTCCATGCGAAAGTGCCTCCGGTGCTGTCCATTTGTAGGGAATGTTGTGGGAGTACGAGAGATAAATATCATCCTGCAAAAACAGAAGAATAATGTATGAAAGGCATAACCCTCGAGGAGCACAATCCAGTGGCCAGTAAACATCTGGCCAGCTGCAGGAGAGGTGAGAATCTCAGCGCTAAGCTCAGAAATTGACTTCGAGGTCAGCCCTCCCTCTAGCCCTTGTGGTTCTTTTTGCACCAACTGTGGCTCCCAGGTTGGAAGTCCGACCTCGGAGATGGGGCTTGGCGGGCATTCCAGGGGAAGGGGAGAATGGAGCGAAGCTCAGCCTATCCTCCTTGCAGCTGGGGTTACAGATTTGGCTCTCTACATACATCTTCTGCAGGGTGGAAGGAAGTGCAGAGGCTGGCTTCACTTCTGTGCCCCTTCCACCCTCGAACAGACATCCATTTTCCTCGGAGTATGGAGGATTATGGCCAGCCATTTTGTACTGTAAATGTACAATATACGTTGTTGTTGTTACCGCGAACAGTTCTCTTTTCCACACACCCACATTCTGCAGTTATATTTTTCAGATGTGAATCTCTCAAATTTCTAGGGGAAATGCTTCTGACTAAGGGTGAAAGTGAACTACAAAATGTGTGGTGAAAGACCACAGAGATGTACCACAAGTGTGCAACAAAAGCCAAATGTGTAGGCGGAATATTGCACGAAAGGGAATCACCTTCTTCCCCTAAGCTCAGCGGGGACTGCCGTACAGACTCTTTGGCTGTCCCACAATCCAGACACCAGACTTAGCACCTGACCCACTTCCAGGGGATAAAATCAAGTTTATTAAGAAGTAAACTATAGGGTGGAAGGGAAGGGAATAGGGGTGGGATTTCAAAGGGGGAAGGAACAGGGTAAGAGCTGGGGGAGAGCGGCAAAGCAGGTACGCAACAACTCAAAGCCGACTCTGCTCCTTGCTCCATCGCAGCTTCCTGCGTCACAGGATGGGGAAGGTAAGAAAGTGAGCACTGCTACACCCTAATGTACATAATGCAAGGTCAGTGCTCCAGTCCAAGGTAGGGAGAGGTGGGTATTGAACACCACCAACAGGCAGCTCAGCCGGAAGAGGAGCAAAGCCCCCCTCTTCTCATTCCCCAAGTCCTGTCTGCCCCCACTCCTCCAGCTCACCAGTGGGGCAAGCTCTAATCTCCCAATCCCTTAGGGAAACCATAACTTTTCAATTTATTAGAGTCATGTCCTACCTTTTCCTTACAAAGAACTCAGAGCAGCCTACATCATTCTCTTCCTCCTGCTCTCCATCTGATCCTCTCAGCCCAACCTACCTCACAGGGTTGTTGTGAGTCTGTGCCTGGCCCTAGGTCACCCAGCTGGCCGAGCAGGGACCAGAACCCAGATCGCCAAAGTCCCAGTCCCACATGCTTAACCATTACGCCCAACTGCCTCTTTTCCCAGCTGCCTGTAATCAAAGCACTTTGCCCAGCCCCTCCTGATAAGCTCAAGGCATAAATTACTCCTCTAAACTGTGATAACAGGAATTCTCAGACCTCGGACTCTGATCAAAGACAGATTTACATGTGTTCCTCCTGTTATGTACAGGTTGGCTTAATCCCCTCGTGACAGTGGCAAAGTACACGTGTGATACTCAGGAATCCAACAACAACAACACCGTTCCTTTTCATGTGAGATGGAAAGGGGCTGGTGCTGTGGGGGTGTTGTGTTGTACCCACGTTTTCCCATGGCAAACTAGTGACTGCAAACCAGACTGGAAGCATCGTTCACTCACAGAGCCCATGGCCTCTGCTTGCCACTGATGGGTTCAGACCCAGCATCTGGAAAGAACCTAGCAAGGTGTAGCAGGCCGGGGACTTGATTCGGGGCTGGAAAGATCAGGCCCCCTGAGGCTCAGTGGCCGACCTCCGTTCAGCCTAACCTACCTCACAGGGTTGATGTGAGCATAAAAATGTTCATGGGAAGAGAACTGTGCAGCTACCCTGAGCTTCCTGGGGGAAGCCAGGATGAAAATGGGACAAATCGTTGAATACAGGAAGAGTCCTGCTGGATCAGACGACGTGCCAACGCTCAGGGATTCAGGGAGTTGGCATCCAAAGCATCTGGAAGGCACCAGATTGCCTGCCTCTGCTTCAGAGCCAGGATGGGCAGCTTGTGCCTCTTGCTGGATTGCAAGTCCCATCAGCCCTGGCCAGCAAAGCCAATGCTGGGGCTGGGTGGGGGGGGTTGCAGCCCAATGTCCAGAGGGCCACAAGTCGCTCACTCCTCCGTCAGTGGGACACCACCTTTGGCCAACAAATTTTAATCAGGGGAGGTAGCCATGGAATGCAGCGGGGACACAGAAAAAAGCAGAAAAAGAATGGAGATTCTGCAAGATTTAGAACAAACAACTCAGGAGACAAAAGGCAGGGAGAGCCAAATGTTGAATGATTTAATTCACTAACTGCTCTCCCACCCAACAGTCAAGGCTCTCTGTGCAGTTCGCAATAATTTCTAGCAGTGGGGGTACCCCCCTCAGCCTCCTGCCTCTTTCTAGAAAAATACTGCAAAATAAGCCAAATTGTGCAAAACAGCATAATTTATGTGGGTCACAGAATTTGGCATAAATTCCGCATCACCTGGGTGCAGATGCCAGTTGCTTTTTCATGCACAGTTCACACAGCCCAGGACGTCAACTGCCTGATCATCCCTGGAGTTGCCATGACTTCTCTCACACCCTGCAAACTGGACTGGACATTTTCTGTTCCTCTCCACTCACTCTCTTCCCATCCCAATACCGACCCTTTTTCACCCAAGTGGGAATAAAAGTACCTTGATGAGCCTGGCCATCCCAAAATCCCCCACTTTGCAGATGTTGTTTTCTCCGACCAGGATGTTCCTGGCCGCCAGATCTCGGTGGATGAAATTTTGTGACTCCAAGTAGCACATCCCATCAGCCACCTGGTGCGCCATGTCGACTAGTTCCGCCATTTGTAGCCCCTGCTCTTTGGAAGCTGGAAGGAAGCACACCGTAACGCCCTTAACCACACCGCTATAGTGCAGCTTGGCTCTTTTCCGCTGCAGCAACAGCACCCCCTGAATCTGCGAGGAGGACTCAAGACCGTGCAAAGATGCACAGCAGGCACAGTCCCCAGGAAATGAATACTTGGCTTTCCATCCTCCGCTGGGTGGAAGAAATGAGGGGCAAACAAAGCCGGTTCCAGGTGGTTGAGGCCCCACAGGTGAGGGTGTCTGAGGACAGGCTGGATGTGCACATGGTGGGCATGTTGTGAGCGGAGCCGGCTGAAGCCGGGGGTCAGACTAGATGGCCCAGGAGACCCCTTCTGACTCACCCTGTTTCTATGTTTCTAATGGGAGGTCCATGTTCTCACCATGCCCACCAGGGACCAAATCACATTTCGGGGAGAGACCAGTCCCACTGATGCCAACAGCACGTTGCCCCGTGGTCATCTGGACACCCACCCAATTTTGGTTGCCCACATCGACACACTTGACCCACGTGTGCACAAGGATGCCGGAGAGACACCTTTGCGCTACAGTCGTTGAAAGAAACACCTGGGGAAAGGAGCTCCTCACCTCGGAGGACTTCCAGCAGGTTCCCTTTGCTCATGATCTCTGTGATGATGTACACGGGATCCCCGATGGAAGAGATCGCGTAGAGGGAGAGAATATGCTTGTGCCGGAGTTTCTTCATCGCCTCAATTTCATGTCTGAACATGTCCTGGTAAGTCAGGTCAGCTGCAGTTGGGTGGGAAAACACAAAGCCCCGCAAAGTGTGAGTTGCTTTTAGGTAAGAAAATGTCTGTCCAGATAGTATTTTTACTACCCAGAGTGGGATACGGGGTGGATGCTGCACCGTGATTTTACAAAGGGTTCGCTGGGAACACTTCCAGTTGCCACAGGAAACGAAAAATGGCGGCAGATTTGAACAGCTGATCACTCCTTGTAAAAGCCACACAGACTTGCTCCAAGGAGAATCCAAAAGATTCTGTGCTGATCTAGTTTTTGTAGATTTATCTCCGGCTGGGAGCATCTCTTTCCTAAAGCTAACAGGTCCTGATTGCCCCTTTCAGGCCACCTCAAGACAATTTGCATTGTAACGGGAAATTTGTTCCCACTTTAGAATGAGGGCTAAATTCAGAGGGACAGGAAATTCTATGGGAGATGGCAGATGTTTCATAAAACCATTGCACTGTCTCCCTGTATGGTATAGCCCTGGCTCCCCAAGCACTGGGGGTGGGAAGCAATGCAAAAGGTATGGTACAGCCATGCTAGGAGCCCCCTGAGCTGCCCTGCCTGAATCAGGAGCTGCACCTTAGATGACTTCTAGACATGGGCCAGTCCTCAACTCTATTCCATATCTAAACAGACCGGATTCATGGTAGCTAAGGGTTGAGAGTGCGTTGCCCTTAAATGAGGGGTTATTGTTCAAATATGGGTTCTTGGCTGGGTTCACACGACATGGGAAACAGCTCCGCACTGTTTCCCATGGTGCTGAGACCTTTGCCCACACGTCCTAGCTGGATGATCTCACGGTTTCCACACTCTGCTCCATCTGCTCCATGCTACCAGCTGCCTCTAAAAGAAAATCCTCACCCTTTCGCTATTATTTCACTGCAGGAAAAGGAGGACAGAGGGAAAGAGAGATTATACATGCACCAAAAAGCAGGAGACTGTAAGCATAGAAAGGAGTAATTCGACAGGGCTCAGCTTTAGTCAGGGGCCTTCTTGACAGTGAAAACACACTTGGGACAGGAATTTGGCCAAGTTCCTGCAGCAGCTCCAGATTTCAAAGGATCAGGAAGCAGCTGAAGGAAAAGTTACCTGTCTCCAAATTGCTGGCAAAAAAGGAGAGTCTGCAGTGGGCAAATTGTCTGTTTGACCTCCTGCAGCAGCCTTCCGCCAACATAGCTCCCTCCAGAAGTATGGAGTACAATTCCCAGCATCCCCCAGCAGCATAGCCCTGTTGGGGGAAGGCTGCGATAGAGGGTTGTTAGAGTAGACCCACTGGAATGAATAGGACTTCGGCTACCAGAGAGAAACCATAAGGCACCTTCCTGAGCAAAGTGAAATTCTCACCTTTGGGGAGCACTTTGATCGCCACTCTGACCATCTCCTTCCAGTATCCTTCATAGACTTCTCCAAAGTACCCCGCGCCCAGCTTCTGGACCAGACGGAACTCCTCCTTGGGTCTTTCCCAGTCATCCCAACGCGGCATCGCTGTGGGTTCTTGCTGGAGTTGCAAGGAAACAGTGACACTTCCACTAAAGGCCTTTCCAGAAGACTGATAGAGTGCCCTGGTCATCCCGACGCCCACCTCCCCCGCCCCGTGCTTCGCTTTCCAAGGAATCTGCCCTGCCCATCGGTTTCGCATGCCTTTCCAGGCTTGCTTAATCGCCCCTCATGGCAGACCAGCGGAGCCAGCCCGACCCCACAAGCACCTACAGGCTGGATTTGCCTAAGTACAGCCCAATTACTTTTATAATGCTGCAGCTTTAATTATTGCCATGCATTGAAATGCTGTAGAATTTTTTTCCAATAATCACTACTCCATAAGAGGAGAAACTGTTATATGAGGTTATTAGATATTTTTATTTATTTATTTTTCGATTTATATCCTGCCTTTTTCCTCAAAGGACTCAAGGCAGCTTACATCATTCTCCTCCATCTTATCCCTACAACCACAACCCTGTGAGGTAGGTTGGGCTGAGAGTCTGTGACCAGCCCAAAGTCATCCAGTGAGCTTCCTGGCTGCGTGGAAACTTCAGCCTGGATCTCCTAAATCTTTTCAGCTTTCTAATATAGGTAATTCTTAGAAGAGGAGGTGCAATATTGAGGTTACAAATATGCGGCATGAGCTGAGATGTGCCTGTCTTATTTTAGTCATAAACTAAATACCTCTCCACAAAGAATTCTGGGAACTGTTGTTTCATGCAGGCACTAAGCACTCACACATATTAACATTTTGTGCAGGTGTGTATCACACAGCACTTTTCCACTGCACTTTACAAACAGATGCAACTACAAAAACAGCAAATTAATAAAATTGCAAGGGGCACTAGAAACAACGGTACTCTCCGTAAGCCACCCAGAGGTTTTTTTAGTAACTGGGACGGTATACAAAAACCTTAAATAAATAAAGGCTGGTGAATAAAAATGACCATTTCATGTTGTAAAAATCCTGAAACTCTGACTATTTTTAAAGTCTTTGCCTGGCCAGGATAAACACCAGGTGATCATATCTAAGGAGGACTTTCCAGAAGCTGGTTACACCATCAAGAGCAGAGCTTTCCCTTATGCACAATCTGACACACCTCAGTCATTGGGAGAACCTGGATGAGGGTCCATAAGGCTGGACTCAGTGGACAGGTGAGGTTTGGGTGGAGGTAGGCAATTGCAGCTTGGGGGTGCCCCATCTGTGCCATGTGGGTCCCAGAGTGCCTTCCACTAGCTGGATCAGGACGGGGGTAGCCTGCCATCCATAATCTACACTCTGGTAAACTCACCTGCCCAGGTGTGAGCCTTCTGTAACTAACCTCAACTTGGTTGGCCCTGATAGGGATTCCACACCTAGGTGAGGTTCAACCTACAGATGCATGAAGAAGGGCCTTCTTTTCTAGGAGGTCTACTGGGAAACAACTCTTTGTATATCTGCTGTGACGGGTGAAGACTCCGATTCACCAGCCAGGTTCTTCCAGTAAGTTGATTTACACAATCCTTTCCTTAAAGAACCACTGTACAAAGAGGCATGTAACCCCTGAAATGTCAAATACCGGGGGATTAACAGCAGCAGAGGGCCATTGTGTTTGATGCCTTGCTTGTAAGTTAACCCATGTTTTACCTAGAATAAGGGAATAACAGGAAGAAATCAACCAGAGAAGGTCTCCTGCCACTCTTTACTCCAAATGCTGTACCTCTGTGTTCTGCAAACTGGAAATTCCAGTTGTGTGGCCGGATTCTGGCTGCCTGACAGCCTAAGGCAGGAGTCTGATGAAGCTGACCAGTGGGAGACCAGGAGAGACCAAAAGATGCACCTCTAAACACGGCACATGGTGGAACTGGAATTCACTGCTGCGGGAAGTAGGGCTGGCCACCATCTGGAGGGCTTTAAAAGGGGACTGGGCAGAGTCATGGAGGAGGCGGCTCCCGTGGCTACTAGTCCTGGTGGCTATAGGCTATGTCCAGTATCAGAGGCAGTGCGTTGTGTACACCACTTGCTGGGGAACATGGACAGGAGGGTGTTATTGCTCTCCTGTCCTGCTTGTGGGCTTCTCATGGGCAGCCACGACTCAAACAGAGCACAATACAAGCCTCACCTCTACCTTTAACTCGGAGAACCTTGGACAAGCTGCTCCCTCTCAGCCTCAGGTCTCCTTGCCATTTACAAATGGGATATAATCATATCCATTGGCCGGACAGCTGCCTCCAGATGTTACCTGTTGCTCTCCAAATGTTTTGCCCCCAGTGAGCCCATCCGGGACCCAAGCCGAGCAGGGCGGAAGCCAAACACATCCGCAGGGCACCACGTTGGGGAAGGCTGCACTACTGAGTCACCATCCGCATCACAACTAGGCAAGGCACGTAAAGCGACTCTGCAATTGTGACACAGAGCTAAGCTGAACGGGATCTGGTGCCAGTTCGGTCTCTTCGGCTTGCACCGAGCTGTGCTTTCCACATCTCCACCTACCTTGTAGCAGGGGGCCAGCAGCTTCAAGCCGCGGGTGAGCCCCTTCTCTTTGTAATACTGGATGAGGGACAGCAGATCCCCGAAGGTCCGGGTTGCATTCATGTGGAAATTCCGCTGGCTGTTGCGAAAGATCTTGTAATGTCTCACCAGTGAGTCATCTCGGACTGTGAAATCAGAGGGCTGAAATGAGGGAAGTCTTGGGGAAGAGGGAAACACCCAAGTTGTAAGGTGCTGATATCTTTCCGTTCCCAGCACGGTGGACAAACACGCTTGGCCAAGTGCCAACCCAGACGCGGCAGATTCGCGGCTTCAGCCAAGCTGCGCAGAATGCTCTGGGGAATGCCCTTCGCTTCACAGTTTAAGACCACGTATATTTCAGCTGGGCAGAGATGGCAGGAAGCATCTGGGGGAAATGCCCGCTTCTGCCCAGCTTGGAAGGGTGCTTTCTCTAATTCGCTCTCTTTCCCAGCACAATTCCACCTGCTGCTTTGAACCAAGAAAATCCTGGACCGGGCTTCCCCAAAAAGCTGCCTTGATGGATTCAACTGCAGTTCCCATCATGCTGGCGGGGATGTTGGGATATGTAGTCCAACACATTGGAGGCTGCAGGGACATTGCCTGCCTTCACATAAGGCAGACATTCCCCACATTCCCTGATGACTGAACTAAAATGGGCGATAACCACTGCAGGGGCTTTTCAGCTGTATTACCTGAGTTTTACACTCCCTTTTCTGGGGAGATTAATTTGGCATCATGCCTTGTTTTCTTTTTGGTGCCATGTGACCATTAATTAATTAATTAATTAATTAATTTGCCAGTTGTATGGGGAGGGGGTTGTCTGGGGTTATTTTCAAGCTTTTAGTCCCATCTTTGTTTTCTGCTGGGTTTTCAACAGCCCTCCTTGTAGAAGGGCATCAGTATCATTTTTGTGGATTTTATTGCATTCTAGTTTTGATTTGTAAGTGGAAGAATGGCCATGAAAATAGAGCAATGAGTGAAAATAATGTTATTATTACATTATAATATTTTAAATGAGTATTATTGCTGCTGCTGTTATCACACGACATTGTGATCTGTAATCAATGGGTTCTCTCCTTCATATGCACATAGAGAAAGGTACACATTCTCACCTGACAGTACATAGTCAGCTTCCTTTTTCTCACTGATACGGATCAGGAAGGCACCGATTTCATTTTCTTCCGACATCAGGAGATGCACTGATTCAGAACGGGAGATCTTCCCAAAAAACCATCTATTGGAACAAGGACATGAGCAGTCAGGAGAATGCTGGACTGGAAATCGGGAGATACAAACATCTTAAATACAAAAGTAGTAAGAAATGGCCCATTCAGATTGGAGCCACGGGCCCATATAGTCAAATGTTCTGTGCCCGGCACCTGTCGTCTCTTAGCTGCTCAGTCCATAGAGGTGCGACCCTCTATCTCGTCCATGCATCAGCTTCCTCTCCGTAGGGAGGGCCCCCCTCACAACTGGAATGCTGTAGTCCAGCTGGGCCTGATTCTTCTGCTGCTCAGGCTACATAGTTTACAGACCCTGGTGTGCCTGCAGGGATGGAGGTCTGGGAAGCCTTCGAACCTAGCCAGCATGTGTTTTCTGTCTGTCTTTCAGCACTGTCCCTTTAATAGCACAATCTCGAAATACGGGCACAATTGCCTCTTTTTTCTAGTACCCTTGTGATCTTTAGCAAGCTGAGCAGTGCAGCTTTTTCTTTTCTTCTTACATTCATTAATAAATTTTACTCATTTTAAACAAACAAACAAACAAACAGAAACAAAGAACCATCATATCCATTGGTCAAGCATCGGATTCTTCTATACAGTTCCACAGGTCACACAGATATCCGTGCAGCTTTTTCTTGCTGCTTTTCTCAGTCTGGCCCATCAGCTCACCTACTGAAATTCCTCCGTCCTTCCACACAGTCGCTAAATGGCCAGGAGTTTCAGCAGCTGCACGACAGGATGCGAGCACCCACCTTGAGCAGGCCTATAAGGGCGGGTCTTGACCACTGTCCAGAACTAACTACCTGGGTTGCTTGCAGCTCTCCTAAGCCTGCAGCTCCGTTCCTTGAAACCCGTTTAGCCCAGGCATGCAAGCCAGGGCTGCCTGGCCTGAAAGGAACTGCTGCCCATGTGCCTTGAATCACAGCTGGATCTGCAGGAACCAGCAGACTGAATCTTTTCACAGCAGAGAGATTTGCATGAACACTCGCCAATGTTTGCATGCGTAGCTTTTCAAGGCGCAGCTACAGGGGCTACCGGAAAGTTGGCAACCCAGAAAGCGCTGGAACATTAGCCGAGCCCAGGAGAGCCAGTGTGGTGTAGTGGTTAAGAGCACGGGACTGGGACTCAGGCGATCTGGGTTCGAGTCCCCGCTCAGCCATGGAGCCCACTGGGTGACTTTGGGCCAGTCACAGACTCAGCCCAACCTACCTCACAGGGCTGTTGTTGTGGGGATCAGATGGAGGAGGAGAACGATGTAAGCTGCCTTCAGCCCTTTGTCGGAAAAAGGCAGGATATAAATCGAAAAACAAACAAACAAACAGTGTATTCCACTGCTGTGCCAAGGACTGCAGGAAAGTTTGGCCCTGCCTCCCGCGGGGCATAAATTTGTTCTGTCACCCTAGGGCAAGGCACCTTGGCCCCCGCAAGCCCCCTTGCACCCCAAACCTTCTTGGAGCCCCACCAAGGTGCATACTTGGTGCTCTTAATTAATCTATTCCCTTACCAGTGGCTAGGATCACAGCAAAGCAAAGAGGTGGTCTCCACCTGCTGCCATTTTCATTTTCCAGGAATGCCTTTAGGCGGCACGAGGCGGCTCCGAGACTCATTTCTTAGGAAATGAAGTCACGGGAGGGAGCAGATGCACGGATGGATCGGGACCACACCTATGGGTGGCGATCCAAGCGTGTGTGTGGGGAGCTTGCATTCTGTGAAATTAGTTTCTACCGGTGCTCAGGTCTGTGGGTTGAGAGGAGTGGTTTAGCATGCATATGAACAACCTGGGCCCCAGCTCTGCCTTTTGCACAATCATTTGGACCAATCCTTCCCGACTAGTCCAGCATCCCATGGCAGCAGTTTAACGATGGAGCACAACACAGTTTTGCAAATTGTCCAGTGTGTTCCTGTGCACAAAACGTTTGCCTACGGTTCTGGGGGCATCCATTGTGGTACCTTCCCCCATGCCCAGCTTGGCTTACTTACTCGAATCATCTGCAGCCTGATCAACACCCATGTATAATTTGGATTTCCAAGCCTGCCTGTGGAGTCAGGTTCTTTTTCTCCCTTCCGATTGTGCGTTGTACCTACAAGTGTGGGTCCAAAATGCCAGGCAGTGTGTGAAAGGCTGGGATCCAGCACTGTTACGTATTTATTTAATCTGTATACCCCGCACCAGGTGAAGTTCTTTCGGGGGGTAACCAATGCCTGTATTTGCAATCCACAACAAAACCAGAGAACAAGAAGTAGTGTCACACTTTGGTATTTGTGACTGTCGGCTTGGTTTCTATTTTTTGTTTAAAGCAAGTTTCTAGCTCCTTGGCAAGGGAGGAGAAATAAGCTTGAAAAGGCGTGGGGGCGATCCTTGAAGCTGGAAGGAATCTGGAAATTTACAATAGTCAAGGGTCAACACTGCCATCCTTGAAGAGGGCGACACACAAATTTGGCTAACGGTGAGTACTTACGGTTCTGCCTCCACAGTCTCTCGTTTGGCCAAGTAGTTGCAAGGCACGTAACCTTCTTCCACTGCTCTGCCGGAGCCATCCAGTTTCTGGACCCACCACCAGTCTCCTTTCTTCTCAATCACCTGGAAAAGGTCTCCCCTGCGGAAGCTCAGTTCAGTCTTGGTCATAGGGTGAAAGTCCCAGAGGCCGCTGTAAAGGCAGCTCTTGCATCCTTGCAGCTGGTTTGCCTTGGAGCTCATGGTGGGCGTCAGGCCGAGGAGCTGCAGCAAGCGGACAGCGATCCTACAAAGGCTCCGCAGGCTTCCCAGCCACAAATGCTCTTCAGCTATCTATGCACACTCAGCACTCACCGATGCTGCACCCAGGGCGTCTTGGAAAACCTGCCTAATCAGCGCCTGATCAGGTTAGCTGCCGCCAGTCGACTTGGAGAAAAACTCTTTCCACTTCCGCTTTGGGAGAGCGTAACAGACCACAGCCCTGCCCTGCTGTTCCTCCTCAAATAGGCAAGAAGAAAAGGAAGGAGGTGTTGACTGAGAGAGAAGTGGCACCCCCTTTCCTGTCTAGAGGCTGAAACCAAGTCACCTGCCCTGCTCTCCAGGTGGGCTGGACTGCAACCCCTAACAACAGGCTGGGGGTGGCTTCTTTAGGGTTTTCAACAAGACTGGAGAGGTAAGAGAAGATGACCAATTTGTTGGGGTCTTGCCTCCTTGAAATCTCACTTAGCTGCCTCCTTGAAATCTCACTTGAGTTTACTAAGAGAAGAGACCTGTGCTCTTTACTCAGAAGTAAATCCTGCTGTACTGGGCGGGGCTTTTTTTCAGGGATTCATAGAATAGAAGACTTGGAAGGGGCCATGAAGGCCATTGAGTCCAACCTCCTGCTGATGCAGGACACCAAGTCACACCATCCCACTCAGAGGGCTACCCAGTTTCTTTTTGAGTGTCTCCAGTGTGGGAGAGCCCACCTTCTCTCCAGGCAGCTGGTTCCACTACTGTATTGCTCTGAGAGTAGGAAGCTTTTCCTGATGTCCAGCCCGAATCTGGGTTGTTGCCACTTGAATGGATTATTCCGTGTCCTACACTCTGGCATAAGCCAGAAGAGATCTTGACTTCCTCTTTGTGACAGTCTTTGAAGTACTTACACAGGGATACCATGTCCCCCCCCCCCCATCTCTTCTCAAGGCTGAACATGTCCAGTTCTCCCAGTCTCTCCTCCCAGGGCAGTGTTTCCAACCCTGGATCATTTCTGTTGCCCTCTGCTGAACCCTTTCTAATTTACCTGCATCTTTCTTAAATCTTGCTGCCCAGAACTGGTCACCAAGCAGGAAGCAGGCAGAGGATGGGTGCCTAAGCAATCTTGGTGAGCTGCCATTTTTGGAGGGGTGAGGGGGAAGTACTGGGGAGGAGAACATGAGATAGTTGTGCAACACCTTCTGATCGGCGGCACTAGAAGTCCTCCATTGGATGAACCCTTTCAACCCGTCACCTGTGGCAAGGCCTGCTAGGGTGTTACATACTGATGCTGGTAAACCAGCCAAGTTTTTAACTGATTTTGTACTCTGGGTATACAAAGCTGCTGCCACATAGCCCTTTTTTATTCTTCCCACATTCAAGGGGGGTAAACTGCATTAAGAAAACTTAATTGCAAATGAGGGTGAATCCGACATGAGTTCAGACAGGAAAAAAGGACTGAAAAGGTTTTTTCCTGCCCAAACATACATAGGATTGCACCTTTAATCGTTTTGCAATTGCATGCATGGCCCCTTCGCTTTTAAAAGGCTGCAATTTAAATTATACTGCAAGCTGCTTTCTGCTGGTGGCTGTTTGGAATTTCTAGAAAAAGAAACTCCACACAGAACACATCCTAGTGGGTTACTTGAAAAAAGAAATCTAGTCAGAAAAGCAGGATATACGCTTTTGTTCAGGCTGCAGGAAGCTTTTCAGGTTCTTTGCCAGGAAATTCCAACCCACTCTCCTTCCAGACCCCAACACTCAAGAATCCATGGCCACTGAGCCCACCTGGGCCTTTCAGAATCCCTGCTCCACAAACATGCAGCAAATCTGACACGGTAGTTGTTTTGCATTGGGGCAGAAAAAGTGCCGTTTGGGGCTCCAAGGGGTCCACCCTGCAGACTCAGTCAACTGTGCAGAATCATCAGGGAAGGCTGGGGAACTGTGGCCCAGCAGAAAAGGCCCTGCCGTGCATGCAAGAGCTCCCCAGTTCGATTCCTGGCTTCCCCAGGAAGGGCAAGGAAAACTGCCCGAAATCCTGGACAGCTGCTGCCGGCCCGTGCTGGTGCTTCTGGCCAAGGAAATAACTTCGCATACAGCAGCTTCCGATGTGCCTTGGGCTTGCCAGCCAGGAGTGTCCCTGTGATCGCCAGCCCAGTGCAGCCACCTCCTGCGCCCTGTCGCGGCCAGGGTCCCGGGATGCCGAATCAAACGCGAAGCAAGAAAAGCCCGAGCGACCCCCCCCTTCTTCTTTGACCAGCCCTGACGAATGACGCCTCTTTTGCTCCTGTCCAATAGGGGCGCTCCCTTCCTTCCCTCCTCCCGCCCGTGCGCAATGATTGACACCTGCCCCCCCTTCCGCTCCAAGCGCCCCCGCCGCTTCTTGAGTCCGAGAATAGCTTGTCCTTTCAGTCTTTATGCCCGCCTCGCTTCTGCGGATTGACAAGGCTGCAGACCAATTGAAAACCAGGATGATATTTGGATGCCGTCCTGAGGCGTGTGAAAAGGACAGGATAAAAATGTTTCAAATAAATAAACAAACAAACTTAACCCCCCCGCACACACCCCTCCCCGTTTGGGTCGCTGGCTTTGCTGTTTGCTCTAGCAGAAATCTTCACCCCGGACCTTAAATCCCTTTAGTTAGTTTCGCTCTTCTCACAGGCAAACGATATTAGCAAATAGGGCAGCGCTGATCCTGGGGACCGCAGCGGGAAAGGACCGAGCCAACGTCCACAAGGCTTTGTAGGGTTCCGAGTTCTGCAGAGCTCTTTGTCACGCTGCATTTGCAAACACACCTGTCCTCGGCATTTATTTTCTCGGCTGGAGATCCAAGCCTCGCAAGAAACAGAAGGATCCAGTTGTGGATAGGAGTGGACAGGACGAGCGCTATCTTTTTGAAAAGGAAATGCACTGAGTGCTAGAGAGGGGAAAAGTTGATTATTAAAGCGCAAGCAAGACGCGGGGGGGCGGGAAAGGAGCGATCCTAAACATGTTTAGCAAAAATCCTCCTTAAACGTGTCTAAGAATACGTGAGCATGAAAAGGAGCGTCAGGCACGCCGTCTTGAGTCCCTCGCAGGAGGAACAGAGCAGGATGAAACCCAACGTGATGGTAAAGGCACTCTGTATGTGTGTGTGAAAGCAGCTGCCCGCTTCACGGCCGGCCTGCCTGCAGAGAAGAATCTGCGGTCGGCGGCTGCCGTAGCAATGCTGGAATCATTCCCAAACACACCAAGGACCAGCCAGCGCGCCTCTGCCCATGGGAAGAGCGCATCGCCGAAGCACAACTGGCGGACCTCTCACCCCTGCAGGGGCCGCCCTGCCAGGCTGGGATCCTCGCGGCTCCTCCGCCGCCTGGTCCCTGCGCCCCGAGACAGCGCTCTTGGCGCAGCACGCCAAACGTCAGCGGCGGCGCTCGGCTCGCTCCGGACCCTGCTTAGAAGCGCCGCGAGCACGGAGCGCCCCTGAGCGCGTGCAGAGCGCGCTCCCGCGGTGCTACGCAGCCGCACAGGGCTCCGAGCAGCGCGTGCCGGAGCTCCCGTGCTCTCGCGCGCGCGGCAACGGCACTGCCACGCGCGCCCGCCCGCCCGCGCCCAGAGGCGGAGCGGCGGGGCCGCGCGGCAGCAA